CGCCACTTCCGGCTTTTTTCTTTTTGCTTATGTGGTGCTGAGGAATCGAACCCAGGGCCTTGAGCATGCAAGGCAAGCGCTCTACCACTGAGCCACCTTCCCAGCCCCGCAATCTGGAATTCTGGAGTAAAGATTTGTTCCCTTACCGTCCCCATTTATTTATTTGTTTACTTGTATTTGTACAGAATTACATGTATTTTGTCATTTGGTTACACTGTTAATTTTTTCATTTGAATCATTCTAACATTGGTCTTTGGAAACACTTTCTGTGTCTCTTTAACATGCCCTCATCCATTTAAAGTATTGCCTTATCTTCTGATGCTGCAAGATACTCTATTACTCACTTTCTCTCCCCTGTGTGGGGCCTATAACCAGCCATTTCTCCAAGAATCCATAAGGCACATTTAAGTTATTTGCCTCAGGTCACACATTTTAAGTGATAGAACTAAGATTCCAACCAAAGCAGTCCCATTCCAGAACACATGCTGCTACCATAAAATTAGATTTTATTTTCAGTTAAAGGTGTAACTGGGAGTTTGTAATCATATTCTGTCTATAATTGAACCCTAAATACAAGTTTTGTATCAACTTCCATTGAGTAATCATTATGCTCTGGCTTTTGCTTTGATTGTTTTGCTCTTTGTTTTTTGAATTTTTCATTAGTTTATTTTTAGGGTTGGCATCAAACCCAGGTCCTCATGCATAATAAACACATTTTTTTTAACCAGTAAGTTATACACCTGGTCCTCCCTGATTTATGCTGATATTTTAGAATCACGCTTCTGAAAATAGTAAATTAAAACCTAGTTAAGTCACAGATAGTTGTTATTCTATAAATGTATCTAAAAATACTCAAATTTTGTTAGAGATTCTGTTTTGTGACAGGATCATACTGTGTGCTTCAGGCTGGCTTTAAAATCCTCCTGCCTTGTAGTACTGAAACTACAGACATGTACCACCATACCCTGGCTGTTATCTGATTCTTAATTTACTATAGAGCAGCAATGGTGGAACTAAAATCTGAACATTGTAACTGGTGATTAAGAAAGTGAACACAGGAGACTGAGATCAGAGGATGTCAGTTCAAAACTAGTCCAAGCAGAAAAGTACATAGAACTCTGACTCCAGTTAACCAGCAAAATGTCCAACTAGAAGGTGGGGCAGAGCACCAGCTGTGAGCAAGAAAGCTGAGTGGGCATGAAGCCCTGAGTTCAAGCCATGTTAGGCCTCACCCCACCCACCTAAAAAAAAGAAAAGAGGAAAAGATAAAAGTGAGACGCTCTTGGATTAATCTGTGTTCTTTAATGTTATGATCATACTAAACATCCATCCTGTCCATTTTATTAAATAATCTTTGCAATGTTGAAATTAAGTTTTATCTATCTTCTGTCCCTGTGGGTTATTCACACACTAGTATCAGGCCACACCTAGGAATAACCAGTTGCATCCTGTTTGTATGACCCCAAAACAAAACCAGACTTACCTGATAAAAGCAGGTTTTGAAGTCATTTGGAGCATGTCTTGGGTGCTGCCTTTGGTTTCAGCCTTGTTTATTTCTATTTCTATTTTTATTTTTGCTTCGGTAGTTTTAGCCACATGTAGGTCAAGGTCTTTTTTATTACTTTTTCCTAGGCCTTCTGCAGGTAGTTACCCTCACCACCAGAAATGTGGGGTTTTTGTTTGTTTCTCTCCTTTTTCTTCTCTCACTCTTCCTCTTTGGTGGGCTGAGAAATAATTATTTTGACAGATAAAGTATGCCAAAGTAGTGCACTAGCACAGTCCTTTGCCAAGGAAAATAACACCTTAAAGATTTGGAGTAGAAGAGTAATCGCTTCAGCCCTCCATTCTTCTCAAATTTATCTTTTTCTTCAGGTACTAGCATTTAATTGAATTGAATAAATTTATTTTTAATTTTCCCTAAGTACTGTTGGCTTTCTTTTTATTGTACATAAACAAAGATTTGCTAACTTAAAACAATATTATTCAATATTCAGTTGCCAATTAAAATATTGTTTAATGGGGGTGATATGTGCTTCCTAACATATACATTTTTTACAGAACTTATTTGAGTTAGGAGTCCTTTACTACTGATTTTAAGTGTGTATGAGCTACTTATTAAAAAGAAATATGTCAGTATATAAACAAGGCTACAATTTCCACTGGATGACCTAACTGCATGGGCAGGGTATTACGATGTGAAAGAATAATCCACAGCCATACTACCAGCCCAGCCTATCATTCATACATACATTCCCTATATTTTTCCTTACTTAATTTTGTCAGTGTATACAGATTGATGAAGCTTGATATGACTTTCTGAGGGATTTAAGAAACTGAGGCAGATTTTTAAAGAAACCAAATACTATATCAGTGGTTTGTTCTTTTTGAAACGTTTACTTGATGGCTAAGTTGTAATCCATCACAAGGCTTGTTGGTTGGTAGCTTTGAAGTCCAAGCATCCAAGATGGGTCTTCCAGAGATACCTCATGGTTGGTTGATTAGGTCATATTCTTCCTCTTTGGAATTTTCTTCCTCTTTTTCTTCTCTTTTTTTGTTACCCTCTCCTCTCTGTCTTTTCTGGTATGATGATTTGAAGGTGCTCTACTACTTAAATCATCACTCTTTTCTTGACTCCATGTTGTCTGACTTTTGGAACAGTCTCAGATTGATTGATTAAATTGCTTTGTTTTTCAGACATTCCATATCATTATTTATTGAATGTTAGAGCTGAGATTATTTCCATTTAAAAAAGATGTTACATCTTTTTCTTTTTTTTTTTTTGGCTGGTCGTGGGCCTGAACTCTGGGCCTGGGCACTGTCCCTCAGCTCTTCAGCTTAAGGCTAGCACTCTACCATGGAGCCACTTCTGTTTTTTTCTGCTTCTTTTTTTTTTTTTTTTGTCGGTCATGGGGTTTGACCTCTGGGCTTGGGCACTGTCTCTCAGCTCTTCAGCTCAAGGCGAACTCAGCTCTACCACTTGAGCTACAGCGCCACTTCCGGTTTTCTGGTGGTTTATTGGAGATAGGAGTCTCATGGTCTTTCCTACCTAGGCTGGCTTTGAACCAAGATCCTCAGATCTCAGCCTCTTGAGTAGCTAGGATTACAGGTGTGAGCCACCAGCACCAGCACCAGCACCGGCTGTTTTTTTCTGCTTATGTGGTGCTGATGAATCAAACCCAGGGCCTCATGCAGGCAAGGCGAATACTCTATCACTGAACCCCCTTCCCAGCCCCTTGTTATATCTTTTATCAGTTTTTTTCTTGCCCAATTTTTCTCTTGTAACTGTAAGTAGATACCTTTTACCTTTTCTAATTAGGAGTTGTATGGCAAGGTAGTTATTGCTGTATTCTGCTTGTTAATATTTTTTTGCCTTGTTATTAATTAGCACTTTAAAAATTTATTTCAGGCCTTTTCATAATTCTGAATCATGTCTGATAACGGAGAACTGGAAGACAAGCCTCCAGCACCACCTGTGCGGATGAGCAGTACCATTTTTAGCACTGGAGGCAAAGATCCTTTATCAGCCAATCACAGTTTGAAACCTTTGCCCTCTGTTCCAGAGGAAAAAAAGCCCAGGAATAAAATCATCTCCATCTTCTCCAGCACTGAGAAAGGTAACTAGCCATTGTGATTTCAAGAGTCTTGGTGTTGGTTTAATACCATGTTTACCATTGGTTTATTATATGTTACTCATTTTTGTATCTTCTACAATGACAATAATTAAGAGATCCAAGAAAACACTTGATACCAATAGACATGATGAAAAGGAATAATTTTGTTGGGCATGGTGGCACAGGCGTGTAGTCTCATATACTTGGGAGTGTAGTCTCATATACTTGGGAGGTTAAAGCGGGAGGATTGCTTGAGCCTATGAGTTCAGGTCTTGAACTCTAGGCCTGGGCACAACTCTTTAGCTCAAGGCTAGCTCCCTACTACTTGAGCCACAGCACCACATCCTGCTTTTTCTGCTTATGTGGTGCTGATGAATCAAACCCAGGGCCTCATGCATGCAAGGCAAGCACTCCACCACTGAGTCACCTTCTCAGCCCCAGCAGGACTTCTCTTAAGACAAAACAAAAACAAAAATACTAGTTTATTTTGTTATGCTTTCTTAGACAAGGTCTTACTATGTAGAACAGACTGGCCTTGAACCAAGCATTATTCTGCTGCCCTAGCCTCTTTAGTGCTAGAAGTAAAGGCATGTACCACTAGCCCCGCAAGACTAGTTTTTGTTTTGTTTTGCTTTGCTTTCTTTTCTCTTTTTATTTTCTTAATCCTCATCGTAATCTGTGTGTATATGTGCGTGTGGTACTGGTGTTTATACACAGGACCTTGTGTTTGCTAGGTAGGCGCTCTACCACTTGAGCCATACCACCAGCCCAGCCCATCAATCATACCTTCCTTACATTGTTCCTTTCTTTCTTCCTTCCCTTCCCTTCCCTTCTCTTCCCTTCCAGGAAGTTCTTTTCTTCTCTTTCTATTACCTCTCTTCCCTCCTCCCTTCCCCTCTCCCATCTCCTTTTTCCCATCCCATCCCCCATCCCTTTTCTCACCCTCTTCCCTCCCTTTTCCCCTCATTGAGGCTTGAACTCAGGGGCCTTGTGCTTGCTCAGTATGGGTGCCACACTCCCCTGGCTGACATCCCTGGAGCTAACTGGGTTTTGGAATTAAGATTTTTCTGATGTTTTTAGTGGTAATGCTAGTTACTTTTTGTTTTGTTTCGTTTTATCCTACAGTGCCTTCAGAAGGATCTGAGGCAGCCTCAGTATCAACATACCAATGTGTCTTCAGCAAAACATGTCTAATACATGTCTATTTTCAATCTCGACACTATCGACATTTAAAGGCCAAATAATTTGTAATTGTAGCAGTCTGTCCCTATGTATTATAAGGATGTTGAGCAGCATTTCTACCTTTACCTATAGATGTCAATAGCAACTCCCCCAGTTGTAACAACCAAAAGTATTCCCAGACATTTCTACGCCCTGGAGGTGAACAATTACTTCCAGTTAAGAACCACTGATGAGCTGGGTGCTGGTGTCTTACATGTAATGCTAGCTATTCAAGAGGCTTGAGATCTGAGGATCACAGTTTGAAACCAGCCCAAACAGGACAGTCCCTGAAACTCTTATCCCCAATTAACCATCAGCAAGCCAGAAGTGTAGTGATAGAGCACTAGCCTTGAGCACAAAAGCTCAAGGGCAGAACCCAAGCAGGCTGTGAGTTCAAGCTCCTTGAGACACACACAGACATACACAGACACACACACACACAGACACACACACACACACAGACACACACACACACACAAACACACACGGAATCACTGACTTTGTTACACAAAGTGTAGGATGGGGGCCGTAAAGATTCTAGTGTAGGGCTGGGAAGGTGGCTCAGTAGTAGAGCGCTTGCCTTGGATACATGAGGCCCTGGGTTCGATTCCCCAGCACCACATAAAAAAAAGCCGGAAGTGATGCTGTGGTTCAAGTGGTAGAGTGCTAGCCTTGAGCTGAGGGACAGCGTCCAGGCCCAAAGTTCAGGTCACACGACTGGACCCAAAAAAAAAAAAAAAGATTCTAGTATAAATTGAAATTGCTATATTTGTCATATTTTAGATAGGAACTTTTGAGTTTTAGAATTGAGTAAGATATTATAGACACTGATGGATTTTAGAATAAGAGTAAGGTGTTTGTGTCAGTTGCCAATAGCTCATGCTTATATTCCTTGCTACTCTGGAGGCTGCAATCTGTGGATCATAGTTGGGAGTCAGCCAGAACAGATAAATCCTAGAATTTCTTGTCTTCAGTTAACCAGTAAAAAGCTGGAAACAGAGGTATGCCTCAAGTGGTAGGGTGCCAGCTATGAGCATAAAAGCCAAATAGCAAGAGGCCTGGCAAGTCCTAGTACTGGCATACACAAAAGAATAAGAGAGTTGTTTAATCACATTAAGCATGATAATGTGACTTTTTTGTTCTTGTTCTGGTACTGGGTCTTAAACTCAAGGCTGGCATTCTACCCCTTGGGCCATATTTCCACCCCCAACTTTTTGATGTTTAATTTCTTGGACTTTCTTGCTTAGAGGCTGGCTTTGAACTACAGTCCTCAGATCTCAGCTCCTGAGTAGTTAGGATTAGAGGAGCCTGGCAAAATGAAATTTTCTTATAAGTGGTAATTGATACAAGCAAAAATAAAAATAAATATTCTATGTGGAGAGGTAAACCCAAGCTGAAGAACAGTGTTTTGTACATAGTAATAATTAATATTCATTTAGTTTGAAATTCTTAATATACATTCAATAAAAATTTAACAATATACTTTTAAAAGAATTTAATTATATTTAATTAATTTAATTATGGATAATAGTTCCTAATACTTTGAGAATTTAGATTTACACATAGGATATAATCTTTTATAAATAGTAAAAACCCTATTCATTTATTGTCAGTTACTTATTTCTAATTTTGCTTTTATTAAGATTTCATAGGTTAAGCCGGGTGCTGATGGCTTACACCTGTAATCCTAGCTACTCAGGAGGCTGATATCTGAGGATTGCAGTTCAAAGCCTGGGCAGGAAAGTCTGTGAGAGTCTTTATCTTCAATTAACTACCAGAAATCCAGAGGTGGCACTATGGCTCAAGTGGTAGTATGCTTGATTTAAGCTGAAGAGCTCAAGGACAGTGCACTCAGGTCCAGAGTTCAAGTCCATGATTGACCAAAAAAAAAAAAAAAAAGGTTTCATAGGTTACATAGTGAGACCCAATCTTAAAAACAAAAACAAAAGTTTCATGTAATGACTTGGAGTTGCTGCATGAAGGCACTAAGTTTGATCCCCAACAATGAAAGTTGTAGATGAAAGTATTTTTTTCCTCCCCCTTCCTTTTTTCTTGTCCTTTTTCTTTGCTTTCTCTTTCCTTGGACTTTTTATACATGGGCTTGCTTCAAACTCCCATCCTCACAGTCCGAGCTTTCAGAGACTATGAGTGCGTGCGTGCGTGCGCGTGTGTGTGTGGGGAGGATACTGGGATTAGAACTCAGGCTTTGCACTCTTGCTTAGCTTTTTCACTCAAGACTGGCATACCACCACTTGATATATCTCCAGTCTAGCTTCTTTGCTGATTAATTGAAGATAGACTCTTGAGGACTTTTCTGCCTGAGCCAGCTTCAAACTGAGATCCTCCTAGTCTCCTCTCAGACTTCCAGGTGTCTGAGTAGCTAGGATTAGAAACGTGAGCCACTGGTGTCTACCTGAAAGTATGTTCTTAAGGTTTACTTGGAAGCTGTTCAAGTGTGCATTCAGCTTGATTGAGGGTTTTTTTGTTTTTGTTTTGTTGGTCGAGAGGTCTGGGCCTGGGCACTGTTCCTCAGCTCTTCAGCTCAAGGCTAGTGCTCTAATAACTTGAGCCACAGAGCCACTTCCAGCTTTTTCTGCTTATGTGGTGCTGAGGAGTCAAGCCCAGGGCCTCATGCACACAAGGCAAACACTCTACCCCCCCTTGTTCTTTTACATATTGGGATTTGGTATCAAAGAAGAACCTACAGTATGTATTCAATATACCTTGCACAGAGGTCTCAAAGGGAAAGAAGTGCTTTTTTTTTTGGTCATGGGGTTTGAACTCAGGGCCTGGGCACTGTCCCTGAGATTCATTCAAGGCTCACTCCACCACTGAGCCACAGCACTACTTCTGGATTTCTGGTGGTTAATTGGAGGTAAGAGTTTCATGGCCTTTCCTGCCTGGGCTGGCTTCAAACTGAGATCCTCAGATTTCAGCCTCCTGAGTAGCTAGAATTACAGGCATGAGCCATTGTCACCCATCAACTTTTTAGGGACAAATGTGGTGGTTCATACGTGTAATGCCAACTACTTGGGAGGTGGAGATGGGAAAGATCAGGCTTCAAGACCAGCCTGGGCAAAACATTAATGAGAGTCCAGCTCAGTCAATACACCAGAAATAGTAAATAGTGCACATCTGTGATCCCAATTTTAAGGAAGACATAAGTAGGGGAATCACACTCTGAGGCTAGCACTGGGTAAGGCCCTACCTGAAAAATGACTAAAAAGACAAGGTCTGGAGCCACAGCTCAAGTGGTAAAGCACTTGGCTAGCAAACACAAGACTCTTTTCAAAGTTCAGTACCATGGGAAATAAAAACCAACAAGATCATGTTTTCAGGGTAGAGAATATAGCTTAGTGGAAAAGTGCTTACCTTGCATGCATGAGGCCCTGGGTTCAATTCCTCAGCACCACATAAGCAGAACAAGCCGGAAGTGGCGCTGTGGCTCAAGTGGTAGAGCGCTAGCCTTGAGCTGAAGAGCTGAGGGACAGCGCTCAGGCCGAGAGTTCAGGCCCCATGACTGGACCCCCCCAAAAAAAGAAAGTCTTTAAAGTATCTTTCATTAATAATTGCTCATTTCTTGCTCTGACTGAAAACATTAAGAACATTAGAAATACATTTCTATAAAAAATTGATATATGATGTATATCTTTATGGATATGCAATATATTTCAATATTTATATGTATAATGTGTAATGAACAAATTCGGCAAATAAGTATATCATCTTAAACATTTGTCATTTCTTTGTGTTGGGAGCAATTAATGTCTTTGCTTCTAGCT